CAGCCCCAGAAAAGCCATGGCAAAACCCCTGTGGAGATTTTTCCAAGGTTGTCTTAGGTTGCCTACCCCTGGCATAACGCCTCTGTCAAAAATGCTTTTCAAAATAACTTTGGAAAAAACTTTGAAACTGTTATCCATTACACCATCACCTGGCCCTTCAAATGTTGTTGCATGCAAGTTCCAGCAACCCTAGGTAGCATAGCTAATTGTGAGAATTACAGGAAATTGCAGTCTAACAAAACATCTGGAAGGCTGCATCATCTTTGCCCCTGCATCACACCAATATAAAGTAACTTTATTGTTTCTCATTGCATTACACTTGAAATGTGATTTCATTGCACCCTCATTCCGAAAAGGAGTTGCAGGTAGCCCCATTACTTGTAATTCTTTACTTCCCAACTCAAGTGTTAGCATTGTTCTTTCTGCAGCAGTTAAGATATACTGTTGGTGTCCATGGAACTAGATCACTTCCTTTTTAAAATATTAAACTCATTTTCACTTAATTAGAATAGCTCCCCACTAGGCACAGTGCTTACTATATATCAAAGTTACACCAGTATTTTGAAGAACAAATGCACCAAAACCAGAGTTTTCAATTCCATGGGTGTTTAAGGAAGTGTCCTGTTTATACTTTATGGACTGAGTGCAAGAAATACTGCAAAACAGGAATGCCAGCATCATATATATTTCTAGTTTCTGCATAAAAATACTGGCACAATTGTTTTAAGTTCTACAGATAATCCACTGGTGTGTACTCTATTCAAATTGAGTAATGGGGGAAGAAGAACATCCTACCATGGTTTCATAAAAGTATTAACTTGTCTCTTGTTAGAAGCAGAGCTTGGAAAAGTCACGTTGTCCAACTGCAACTTCCAGAATTCTCTAGCCAGTAGCCAGACTATTCTGGGAATAGTAATATAAAAATAATTTTTAAATGAATGATGTTCCTAGAAGCTATATTGGTACATACCCTGGATATTTCTCTGCTGATACACTAAAGCTGTTACCACACTGCAGAATTAATTCTGTTTGTCACTGTTTTAACTGCCATGGCTCCATTCTATAGAATCTTGGGATGTGTAGTTGTTGTGGCATCAAAGCTCTCTGACAGAGAAGGCTATATATTTCACAAAACTACAAATCCCAGAACCTCGTAGCATTGAGCCATGACAGTTAAAGCTGTGTCAAACTACATTATTTCTACAGTGCAAATGCAGACTTAATAACATTTACCTGGGTTCATGTTAAAAATACAAACATTACACTGTCATACTTTTGTACATATATAATTAGTCAACAGACCTAGAAACTGTCACTTCTTTTGTGATGTACATTCCAGGATGCTGTTCATCAAAGTATGTAGAAAAGGTTATGAGTACAGTGGCTGTACTGAAGTCTAGAGAATGAAGCAATCCCTCCTCAGCATTGGATTTTCCTCCTTAGAAGCCAGTTTTTTTTGGAATCCAGAATCCCATTTTAACTTCACCACTGTCCTGTTTGAGAGATTTAGCCTAAGGACGTTATCACACGGGGTCTAAAGCAGACAGAATCCACACTCA